GTCCATTTATCAAAATGTTGCTGAATATGAGTTTTAATTTCAGATGTATCAGTAATAACATCATTATCAGTTTTAATCTCTACTATTTAATTCTGGGTTTGTACGCTTTAATGTTTTTGATTGGATCAGAACTGAAAATGTGATCTGATTTGAAATTTACGTCTTTTTTTTGGTGTGAGTGTTTGATTTGCCTCTTGGTTTGTCTGTTAAACTTTTTTTATTGGTGGCAGTAAAGTAGATAATGGATTATTTTTTTTTTTTTTTAGTTTAGATTTATGTCTGGTAAGTTGTAATGATTGATGATTTGGATTTATATATTTTTTATGTAATTCAAGTCTCAGTTTATCAGATTTTTATTATTATTATTTTTTTTTTATTAGTTTAAATTTATGTCTGGTAAGTTGTATTGATTGATGATTCAGATTTACATCTTTTTTATGAAATTCGAACCGTGGTTTAATGGTTTAACTTTAAATTTATGTCTGGTAAGTTGTATTGATTGATTATTCAGATTTACGTCTTTTTTATGAAATTCGAACCATGGTTTAATGGTTTAACTTTTTTAATTAGTGATAGTAAAAAGTTCGAATATGTGTCCGTGGTTAATCGTTATGATGATTCAGCTTTATGTCATTTTTTTTGTAATTCGGCTCTAGGTTCATAGGATTATTTCTTCATTGGTTGGTAATATAAAATAATTGGAACATGTACCGGGGAGATAACATAATAATAAATATAGTAATCATATCGTAATCACATAGTAATAATATCGTAATTAGGGGTAAAAGTACGACATTCATTATTATTATGCGGGTCATAATTCAGTCAGTTATTTACACAATATAGAAATGATCTTTAATATACTAAAAGGTTATTCTAGAATCGATTTCTATTTAAAAGAAAAGGATTTTTTATTATCTAAAAATGACAATCAGTTTTAAAAAAACCTTTGAAATTTTTTGCAAAAGTTACTCTGGATATGTGGTCTAGGAAACCGTGGAGATCCCTGAAAATTTAAAAGGCAGTTATGTGTCAAATAATAACACAACCAATGATTAGTACAATTTCATACATACTATAGAATTAAAAAAGAATTTTCTAATTGAAGATCTTTTGCCCAAAAGAAAAATAATCTGTAATATACGAATTTGAAAAGTTCATGACTATAATTAGAAATTCAGAAAAATTATATGTGGATAACTATATTGAAAAATGTATGACAAACAAATTATGTGATTACCACAGTCATATAATTGAATGACTACATTTGTTATACAAATAGCTAAAATTACTACATTTATTATGCAAATACTAAAAATATCAAGATCGGTAATTGAATTTTGCAGTATGAAAAATAAATAGATAAAACGAAAATAGCATATATGAATAAATAAATAAATGGTAGAAAATATTTAGAATCATTAGGTAATTCATATGCAACTTGATTTAAACTAAATCGAGAAGGGGAATTTGATGTACATTTCATCGAGTACTAAAAAGTTCAAGACTTATAACTAGCATTTTTAATAATAATGATTGAATACTGGTAATTGCACATATGATTATTAATATAATTATTAATTTAATATCTTTGAATTATATGATAATATGTGAAAAAGAATGACAAAAAAGATAACAAAAAAGATATTTATTCTTACAACTCACAGTAATTACAAAAAAAATTAGCAATAATGCAAACAAAATCATAATAATTTTCTTATAAAATAATTAGTGATAAAATTTCCTGTGGGTAAAAAGACGCAATTCTAATTATTACATGTTTAATATAAATATGATGTATTGCGAATTTAAAAACTCATTTTATCTACTTAATAATTGTTATATAAGATATTTGTGATATGAAAAAAAAAAAATTAAATAAACTAAATATAAAAAATATATATATATATATATTCATTCATTGTACATAACATTAAAATATAAAAAAAAAATATATGTATATATTACTATTCACTATTTGGTTTTGATTTTTGTTGAATTGACTTACATATATACCGCCTCTTCATAACCTTCGTCCACGAACTACCAAAGAACATCGGGAAGCAGAAACTTCTCAGATTCAGAGATCTAGAAAATTACATTACACAACGACAAAGAAAAAACAAAACTATAATATTGGTTGTCATTTTCATGAAACAACTTCATCTTCATGTCATGTTTTTGACAACATGCGTGAATGCGTTTATTGTCGCGCTGCACTTTTTCCTACTGAAACTCAAGGAGCGTGTTGTAGATTGGGAAAAATCAAGTAAATTTATAAGCAAAACAAAAAAAAATTACTTTATCATGAATAAATTTGGATTTTTCAACACAGACTAACCTCAGCAGCTGACACCGCGGCCTTGATAGAATTATTCGTTAGGCATGATAATGTGAGTAAAGATTTTCATAAGAATATTAGAGCTTACAACAACGCTTTCGCGTTCACTTCCATGGGTATCAAGTTAGATAAACATCTTGCAAATAGTAAGATATTATTAAAACCATATTTGATTATATATCTATATACTAACCTTTAAATAGGTAGAAACAGTGTTTATACATTTCGAGTGCAAGGTGGAATCTACCATTCAATAAGATTACTTATTCCAGTTGATGATATTCCAAAATTCCTCCAACTATACATTTATGATACCGAATTCGAAACAACCAACAGACTTATTATCATGCCCCGACTTTGTCAAGATACATTAGAATTTATTAAAACATTACTAAACCAGTTGAATCCTTTTATAGCGAATTTTTACTTGATTTCTTCTTGCAGTAATATAACCAACCTTAGTCTTTATATTAAAGCCGATTACGGCTTAGACCAACGTATTTACAATATGCCAACAGCTTCGCAAGTCGCAGCTATATGGATAGAGAGTAATAATCCTACAAATAATACAAAACGTGATGTAGTTATACATTCCCGAACACAAGGTTTACAAAGAATATCAGAACTAAGTAGATCATATGATACAATGCAATATCCCCTTCTTTTTTCCCGAGGTGACTACGGTTGGCATCCTGAGATATTACAAAACAGATCACAAAAAAAAATTACTGCCAAACAATATTATTCTTACAAATTACATTTTCGTAAACCTCCAGCACTATTATTTTATGGTGGTAGACTCTTTTAGCAATACGTTGTTGACAATTACATAAAAATTGAATCAACACGTCTTAACTACATACGTTGTAATCAAGAAAAAATTTGTCAGAAACTTTATTAAGGCCTACAAGACTCTTTTCAGTCAGGGATAACCAACACATCTAATATAGGGCGATGTATTATTTTATCTTTGATTTTCATAGGTAGACCCCAGGATATGTATCAGAGATATCAAGACGTGATGGCGTTGGTTCAAACATATGGCAAACCAGACTTATTTATTACAATCATATGCAACCCTTATTGGCCTGAAATAACATCAGAGCTTTTACCAGAACAAACTCCACAAGACAGGCCAGATCTTACAGATAAAATTTGATTTACTAATATAGTAAATTTTTACAATACCTGCTACCTTTTTTTTTTTCTTATTTTGTTTGTTACTTTACATAAATTATTATAACTTAATTTTAATAATATTGATGATTGATTGATTACTTATTTTTCTTTCAAATAATTTAACTAATATTAATTTATTTATTTATATTCATAATTCCTTATTTATTTATGTTATTTATAAAAATTATTAAAAAACTTCTTTGCTAAAATTATAATAATTTTTTTTCTTTCACTAATAAAAATTATAATCTTATTTTACAGCTCGGGTTTTTCATGCGAAATTAGAAGAATTAAAAAAAGACCTTTTTATTTGAAATATACTTGGTCGAGTGATTGCATATATATATGTGGTGGAATTTCAAAAACGTGGTCTTCTTCATGCACATTTATTATTAATCTTTCATTCAGACAATAAACTACACAGTGATGATGATTATGATTCTATAGTATCTGCAGAAATTCCTAATCCTATAGAACAACCTGGTTTATATAAAACAGAAACCTCCTTCATAATTCACGGTCCGTGTGGATCTTTCAATAAAAATGCACCCTGTATGAAAGAAAACATATGTACAAAACATTACCCAAAAGAATTTATTCAGGATACAAGAAAAGACGATGATTCATATCCATTGTATCAGTGACGCAAAGATGGAAGACATATAATAATAAGAAATGCAAAACTAGATAACCGCTAGGTTGTTCCATACAATTCTTATCTTTCATTTAAATACAATTGCCATATCAACGTTGAAGTGTGTTTGAGCATTAAATTCGTCAAGTATTTGTATAAATACGTGTACAAAGGCCATGATCATGCAGCCTTGCAAGTAACAAATAATGATGATATTAACTAATACTTAGACGCTAGGTAGGTCTCTTCTTCTGAATCGTGCTGGAGGATTTTTGGATTCGAACTTTCTAACATTAATCCATCAGTACAACACTTACAAATTCATCTTCCTGACCGACATAACGTGACATTTTCTGAAACATCAAATATAAATAATGTTCTTAATAATGAAAGAAATAAAAAAACTACACTAACTGAATATTTTAAAATGAACGAAATCGACCCACAAGCCTGCAACTATTTGTATCGTGACTTCCCGGGCATTACATTTGGAATAAAATGACCAAAAAATGGACAAAGCGTCACTAAGGTGAAATGATTGGAAGAATATACGCAGTTAACCCGATCGAAGAAGAATGCTATTATTTACGTATACTTCTAAACAACATTAAAGGTGCTATGTCATTTGCTGACTTAAAATTAGTAAATGGCTATTTGTGTTCAACTTTTAAAGAAAGTGCAATGAGACGAAATCTAATTGAAAAAGAAACAATATACAATGAAACCATGCGGGAAGCCACTCAATTTCAAATGCCCTTTTCATTATGACAATTGTTCACCACCATATTACTATTTGGAGAACCAGGTGATGTTCGATCTCTGTAGAATAATAGCTTTACGGCAATGTCAGAAGATTATGCAAAAAAAGGAATCTCAAATAATTACCTCCGAATTAATGCAGTTCTTTTACAAATAAAACATCTCTTGGAACAACATCACAAGTCTCTAAATGAATACGATCTTCTTCCACTTACTTCATCAGATAATAATCCAAACGAATTACCAAAATTGTTATTTAGTGAATTAAATATTCCAGTAACTGACGAGGATCTTGCAAAAATCGAATTGTTGAATGAAAATCAAAAATTAGTATATAATATTGTTATAGAACGTATTGAAAAAAACCAACCTGCAACTATATTTGTAGATGGATCTGCAGGTACTGTATATTTACATGAGATCTAAGGTCAAAATTAATTTTAATAGAATATATATAACATTATATAATAATTTTATATTATGAATATCTATAAACAAAATAATAGAATATATTGAATTTACTTCATCCCATAACTAATTTATATCATAATATCTTTATCTGCAGGCTCAGGAAAAACTTTTCTTTATCTTTGCTTGCTGGCTAAAATTCGTTCAGCCTGCTTAATTGCGCTAGCAACTGCCTCATCTGGTATTGCCGCGTTATTGATGCCTGGGAGTCGAACCGCGCATTCTAGGTTTAAAATCCCCTTAGATATTAATCCAAATTCAATCTGCTCTATCAGCAAACAAAGCAATTTGGCTAAATTACTAAAACTAGCCAAATTAATAATAATAGACGAAATTTCCATGATGAAATGCTACTCAATAGAAGCCCTGGACCGAACTCTGAAAGACATAATGGAATGTAACAACCCATTTGGTGGAAAAGTAATTGTGTTTGGGAGAGATTTCCACCAAATTTTACCTGTAATACTGAAAGGAAGTCATACACAAATTGTAAATGCTACTCTAAAATCTTCAACATTATGGTCTAACATGGAAATTTTCTACCTTAACCAAAATATGCGAGTAGAAGACGATCTAGAAAGTAATAATTTTAAAGACTTCTTAATAAGAATAGGAAATGGAACTGAAAAAACTATCGGTGATGACATGATCCGTATTCCTGACAATATGATAATTAAGTGGCATGACGAAGAATCTTTACAGACACTTATAAAGTCAACATATCCATCTCTCCAAACCCAATTTTTAGATAGCTCTTATTTCACTGACAAAATCATACTTACTACCAAAAATGAACATGTAGATTACATTAACAATATAATACTAGAAAATTACCAGGAGATTGCGCAACATACCGTAGTTTCAACTCCGTTCCCGATGATACCAACAACCTCTATCAACAAGAATTTCTCAATTCAATAACCATCAATGATATCCCTCCACATAAACTACAACTAAAGACTAACGCTCCTATTATATGTCTTCGAAACCTAGACCCATTCAATGGTCTATGCAATGGTACTAGACTAACATGTCGAACATTTAACACTAATGTTATTGAAGCTGAAATAGCTACAGGTAGTCACAAAGGCAAGCGAATATTCCTTCTCCAGATAACATTTATTCCGTCAAAAGATGCTAAACTACCTTTCATATTAAAAAAAAAGCAATTTCTAATTAAACTTACTTTTGCCCTGACGATCAATAAATCTCAGGGTCAAACTATTCCGAACGTGGGGCTCTACCTCCCTGAACATGTATTCACTCATGGTCAGCTTTATGTGGCTTTCTCAAGAGTTTGATCATACCATAACATCAAAGTATTAGTCAAAAATGGTGATATTCATAGTAAACAAGGCGTCTATACACGAAATGTCATATATAAAGAAGTTTTATCCAATTAAATCAGAAACATTTTATAAATAAAACAAACATTTTATTATAATAACCTCAAAAAACTAAACAAAAAATACTGAAAACAAAGCAAAAAAAAAAATATATATATATATATATATATAACATATAAATATATATAACATAACCAACAAAATCTTATAAAAAAAAAAAAATAACTATATTTATGAAAAAAAATAATAATAATAAAACTATTTCAAAACACAACACACTATAAACACCAAAAAAATAGTAATAACAATAATAAAACTA